CAGCAATTCTCCTGCCTCTGCCTCCTTAGTGTTGGGATTTTAAGCTTCCATCACCACACCCAGGCTTTTATCCCCTTGTTGTACCCAACATTCACAGCCACACAACCACACTGATAGTGTCACTTAAGAATTGACAGGTGAGTGGGGCGGTGGTGGCATGCACCTTTAATTTCAGCACTTGGGGCAGAGACAGGAGGATCTCAGTGAGTTCAAGGCCAGCCTGGTCTATAAAGTGAGTTCCAGGACAACCAGGACTGTTACACAGAGAAACCCTGCCTCAAAAAAAAAAAAAAAAAAAAAAAAAGGAAGAAAGGATGAATTGACATTCAGACAGGGAATAGTGGTGCACACTTTTAACCCCAGTATTTGGGAGGCAGAGAAAGGTGGATCTCTGTGAGTTCAAGACCAGCCTAGCCTACATAGCAAGTTCCAGGACAACCAGGGCTATGTAGAAATTAAAACAACAACAAAACATACAAAAACAAAGATTTGGAATCTAGGTCCTTCCACCAAGATAATAGCAGTAGGGTAAGGCAGGCAGTAGGCCAAGACTTTCATAGCTAGGAGACTGAGGAGGTGGAGGTGGCCCAGGTCTCCCACCAGTAGCACCACGATGCCATAGATTGACCATGGCCAGACTGAGCATGTACAAGATATCCACCATGGAGCTGAAACAGCAAAGGCTGATGAGCTATGGAAGAACAATGCCAATGAGAGCCAGTTCATCCCAGGGGCAGCTGTCAATACCCACATCCCCTAAAAAAGAGGAACAGAGGTCACAGGAGACCTACCTACTCACCAGAAACCTTCCTCCCTCATATCCCTTCTCACTCCAGTCTCCTCTCCCTCTGTCCTTTCTAGGATGGAACTCTGAAGGCAAGGGAGTCCATAAGAGAGGGTACCTGCTGCTGGGGACATGGAGGAGAGGGTGGGTTCCAGAGTTCTTGGTGACAGGCTGTGGGAAATGAGAAAGAGGTAGGAGTCCCAGAGAACATGTATATTTCCAACCCTGGTGAATGAATGGGAGGATGGAGATTCCTCACAGGTAGTCTACAGGTCAGACGTGTAGGAGCACAGCTATATGATTTAAGACAGTTCTGATACAAAGCTCTTCAGCCCTTCTCAGAAGATCAATGACAAGGGGGAAGAGGCAGAGATGGAACTACAATGGTCTTTTGCCACAGGGACTCTGGACAAGACTATGCGCAGTGACCTCGGGCCTGCTTTGGTGAAGATCTTCTCCTTGGGGTACACCAGAATTACCTGAAGCACCTTGAGGAGGGCTGAAATGGCTTCACAGTCTTCAGACCTCCAAGGAAGTCCTGTGTCAGACTCAGAACTTTGAATAAGAAGCAAGAAGGGCACAGGCCTGGGAATCACACCTTTATTTGCCATGAGACCCTGGGCTAACTTCTCAGCCTCACCAGTGCCTGGCTTTGCTGCTGTAAATTGGGGGTGTAACTACCCTGGGGGGATATTTGATGAGAGAACAAGTAAAACTCTGAGTCTTATGGCTGACACTGGGAAGAGACTTCATACCTTGGCCTCTGTCCCTTTGACACAAATAAATGCTCACACTCACACAAGCACTCCACACACAGCACAAAAATATCTAGGTGGAGTTGACCCTCCCTAAGGGGTGTGAACATAAGCCAACATCTTCTTGCTGTTTCTGACATATACTCTCAGCTCCCAAACTCAGTCTCTTCTAGTATCAAAACCTGAATTTCTGCCTTTGCATCTGTCTACCTTTGGCTCTAGCCCCTAGAAGCCTGACCCTAAACCTCTTGCTATCATCATGCTACCACATTATTCCTTCCTCTCAATGTTCTAGTTGCTAGAGCTTGCTCTGGGATCCTGGATTTAAGAAATTGAAGCTGGCCAGGTGGTGGTAGCACACACCTTTAATCCCAGGACTTGCGAGGCAGAGGCAAGTGGATCTTTGTGACTTCAAGGCCAACCTGGTCTACAAAGAGAGTTCCAGGGCAGCCAGAGCTAATAGAGAGAGAAACCCTGTCTCAAAAAAGAAGAAATTGAAGCTGAGCCAAATCCCCTCATTCACATATCCCAGACTCTTCTAAGTCAACCCCAGAATGTGATGTGAAGAATGGGCCCAATAGCTAGCCAGGCAATGACTCACATGGAATAGCTGCATACTGGATTTGTAGGGGCATTGCCAGGACCCCAGAACATGGGAGTGTCTTCTGGAGGCAAAAGAAGGTCAAACAGTTGGAAGTTGTGCTGAACGTCTTAGACTCCTGCTGTGGCTTCCTGAAGCTTAGCTTCTTGGGGTCCTCAAGGCACTGCTGGGGCTCAAGATGCTTCTGCTGCTATCAATCAAACTGCTTCTCTACATCAGGTGGCTTATCCATTCTTCCAGCACCCAACCTCTCCCACAAGTGCTGGGCTAGCCCCACGGCCATGCTTTGGAGTCCATGATTACTAATCTGCCTTGGTAAACAGGATCCTCAACGCCAGCTACAAGAGGTTTCACTTGACATCCTGGCTCGAGACAAGCTGGATATGGTATACTGGAAAGGGCAAGTAATGCATGGTGCTCCTGCCTCTACTTTTTTGGGGGCCTAAAATGTTCGTGCATCCTCTAATTCTGCAAAGTAAGGAAGAGTTGATCATGCTGGGTAGGTCATCCCAGGTCTTTTTGCCTGTAAATTTTTATCTTGGTGCCGAAGCATTGAAAAACACATGATTTCTGCAATCAATCAGGCCTTAGTTCTAGTCTCAGTCTTTCCAGACCCATGTTCTCATTGGTAGAACCAACAGAGATTTAATAATAGCATTTAATGAACATATATTATGCACCAGACTGTGTTTTCTGCCGTTTTTTTTATATTAATCCCTCCCTTCTTGGTGATGAGTATAGGTGAATTTTAGTCAGTCTCAGTCCATTCTGAGGATACCACTCTTCTTATCAGTGATTGGTTTAAGAATGGGAATGTAACTTCATTCTGGCCAATTAGATACAAGGGGTGATCTAGGGTTTCTGAGAGAGCTTTTCATTCTCTATTTACACTTGGATGTGTGCCAATATGCCACCTGGAGCACATACAGCTGTTTTGCAACACTGAATACAGTAGCCAATACATTGAAAACTGAAAGAATGCTGGCCCTTGATCTTCACATTAAACAACTCAACCAACCCACATGGAAACTAAATCATCTCTGGACCCTTTGAGAGAGGGCAGGAGGAAGAGAATGTATAGACATACGGCATGTGGGGGTCAGAGGACAATCTTCCAAAGTCAGTTCTCTCATTCCACCATATAGGTCCTGGCCAAAACTCAGGTCATCAGGCTTGGTGGCAATCACCCTTTTCCAGAGCCATCTCACCAGCCCCTTCTTAATGCTGTGACAGTCACATAATTTATGAATTATCTATCCATTGATCTATTTCTTTGACTCTGCTGTAGGTGGAGTGTATCACTGTACTTTCAGACACAAAAAAAGATCCAATGGAGAATTATGAACTTGCCTGGGATTCATGCAAGTGAGGGCACAGTTCAGTACTGAGCATGAAATGCACTAATACAACGTTTACCTCTGTGTGCTCCCTAAAGCTAATCTTCCTATACCCAAAGTATCTTATAGGCAGGTAGCTAAAACATGTGTACAGATAAACTCTAGCTGGCCCTACTACAGGCCTGTAACCCTAGCTACTAGAGAGGCTGAGGCAGAGAATTCCAGTGCAAGTCTCATTTAAGCTACAAAGTGTGATATCTTGCTTGTACAAATAAAGCCCGTCTGAAGATCAGAGGATGGAGCTTGCCACTAGCTAACCATAGAGGTCAGGAGGTCTGCACAGACAGGAAGTGAGATAGCTGGGTAGAAACAGGAAGTGAGGTAGCTGGTCAGAGACAGGAAGTGAGATGGCTAGGCAGAGAGGATATAAGAAACAACTTACTCTCTTTTATGCTGGGAAGCTAATGAGACAAAGGTGGCTTTGGCTTCCTCCTCCTCCTCTCTGATCTCTCAGCATTTTCCTCTGTATCTGACTCTGGCTTCTTATTGTTTAGACCAAATAAGAACATCATTTACAACAAAGTTCAAAGCCAGCCTAGGCAACTCATTGAGACCTTGTCTCAGAACAGAGGCAACTAGGGTTCAGGCTCAGGAGAACTGTGTTTGCCTATCTTAAATGATGCTGTGAATTCACTCCCCAGAACTGCAAAAAATATACATTCTTTCCCTCATTACACAGAATTAGCATCACTTCCCAAAAGGACTCCAGTGGACTCACACAAAGATGGTCTGGGGACATGACACTAGGTGCCCTAACATTTTTCCTGTGAGTATTTGCCTCCCTCTCTCTCTTCCTCATCCTCCCCCCATTTAGACACTGTTGAGCCATTCAACATTACCAGGAGCTAGCTAACTGTCCCCCACCTTCTATTCATGTGTTAAGGGACAATGGACTAGGAGCCATACCTCACCATTTCAGCAGGTGCCTCTCAGCTCTGCAAGTGTAAAATAAGAGAAATGGCAAGAAATCTCTCCAGGGACTCAGGTGAGCACAGGCAGAAATCAGACACACTCTGCAGTGTCAGCTTGTAAATTTTAAAGCGTGTTAGATGTGAATTCTTTTGAGACAGCATCCTTACTTCTTAGGAAAGGAAATAAATATGCAGAGGTGATTTACTGTGAGCTTTACAATAAAAATAAAATGAAATAAAATGAAAGAAAAAATAAAATAAAATAAGGGAACAACCCAGATATTCCTTCCTCATGGGCAGGATTGCATATCTGGTGTTCCAGGAAGCCAGAAGAAGGAAGGTGAGGTGTCAGATCTTCTGAAACTACTTAGGGATAACTGTGAGCTACAGGAAAATAAACTTTGACCCTTTACAAAAGCAGCAAGTGCTCTTAGCACCTGCGCTACCATTTCATCCTCAGTCCCTTGCACTCCTAGGACAGAGTACTTAAAGCCACTAACATGGACAAAAGTAGAAAGGAATGTTAAAGAACACTGAATCTTTTTTTTTCCCCCTGGGTTTTCCAGACAGGGTTTCTGTGTGTAGACCAGGCTGGCTTCGGACTCAGAGATCCACCTGTCTCCGCCTCCCGAGTGCTGGGATTAAAGGAGTGTGCCACCACTGCCTGACAGAACACTGGGTCTTAACAGCAAACAATAAAGCAGGCTACACTGTCTCATTTGCATTAAAAAATTAAATCTGTATACAATCAGAAAATGTCAGCAGTACAGTTACACCAAATGAAATGGTTATTTATGGAGTATTATAATTTGGAGTGGTTTTAGTTGTTGCTTATTTCCTGTTTTCACATGACATGAATATTAATAGCCCACTCAAAACAGGGCAATGTAGTTATGAGGGGAGAGTGGGATCTAGATGAGGTATCTTTTACACTGAATGACCATGGGCCTAAAAAAGAGGTAGACACTGTTCTGTGACTGTGCCTGCTATGGTAAATGCATGGCTTGAAGACTCAATTGCCAGGCTTCCCGAATGCACCAGGAATCTTCTTATTAGGGTGTCTGACCACCGTCTTAGAGCAAGCTAAGAACTGGCAAGTATCCAGCAGCAGCAGGAATCCCAAACAGACAATGGCTGGGATGCAGGTCCTTAGCGGCTCTTTCAGAACCACCAACGTGAAGATGGCCCCTAGGACAGAAATGATAAACATCTAGAAGGTACAAGAACTTGGATCCCAGCCCAGACTGACCCAGTTTAGCCCAGGTCCCCCCACTCTACACTACTCCACACCTTTCCAGGAAGCAAGACAACGAAGCCTCAGAGCAGGGGGGTCAAGGTGAGAAGATGGGGGTATGGGAACTAGCTTTCCCCCAGCTCTTTCTTAATAATTCTACTGGAGGATTCAAAATGGGAGTCAGGGGCTTGAGGTGGAAGTGTGGTAATATCTGAAACTGTGGAAGGCTTTAGAAATGGAAAGAATGTTTTAGTGAGTAATGTGACACTGGTCAGGGGATACAAAACAGCAATGTCTAGTCTTGGAAGTAGCGGCTGGCCGCTCTGCACACTGGCACGTCTTCCCTGCGGAGCTTCAGAGAGAATGCTTCCAGAGAAATTCTCAGTCTCTCTGGCCAGAGAACTCTAGCTTTCCTGCTGACTGCTCCCAAATCCAAAAGCTCAGGTTCTCAACCTGTGGGTCATGACTCCATTTTGGGTTCCAATGTCACTTTCACAAGGGAAGACCATCGGAAAACACAGATACATTACAATTCCTAACTGTAGCAAAATTACAGCTATGAAGTAGCAATGAAAATAATTTCATGGTTGGGGGTCACCACAACATGAAGAACTGTATTAAAGGGTCATGGCATTAAGATTGAGAACCATTGTGCTAGATACATATACATTAAGTGGCAGCTGCTGCTCCACTCTCTCTAGGAGTAAGCATGTAGAGGAAGGAGTAGGAAGGTTACACTACATGATCACACTGGAACACTATGCAGGCACAGAAATGATGGGCAAAGCATGTTACAGTGTTACAATGGCCAGGTTATGGTCCATAGCATTTCAATATCATGGAAGCTATGGCTGAGCTGGAAGTGTTCCTGGTCCCAGAGAAGAGACAGGGCAGCAGTAAGGAAGGACAGCTAAATTTTTCTATTGCCCCCAGGAGACCCCAGTTGCCCTCTTACCCATCATGAGCAGGATCAAGAGCAGGGTACTGATCTGTTGTAGCACAGGTGGACCCACGACCAGCAGCAACCCAGCCAGCAGTTCCAGCCAGCCCACAGCTGTTTGGTAGTTTATAGGATCTGGCTGGTAGCCGAACAACTTCAATGGAAACACCTCAGCGAACTGCTCGAACAATGCTCTCTACAAGTGGCAGGGAATGCCTGTCAGCTGCGTTCGTCTGGAGATACCACAGAGATGGCATCTGACTGTCAGCAGCTCCTCTAACAGCCACCACAAGGCCAGATCCAGGTGAAGAGCCTGGCAAGGAGGGGGCCACCCAATGGGACTGACCTTTGGAGTAAGGAGCAGACACTCTCCACAAGTGAAAAGGGCCACAGGTGTAGAGACAGCTTTCTCTCCTTACCAGAACTCTCCATAGATAACCAAGCCTCAAACCCCGGGAAAGGGTGGAGGACTTGGGCCTTCCCATCTAGGGCCAGGACCTGGGAAGGGCCACAGATTCTTTGTGCCAAGCCTAGTTTCTCTTCATGCTGAACATTTGGAGGTGGGATGGAAAAGGCTCCTTAAAGATGGATTTCCATTTTCAATCTCCTATGCGGGTCCTGATTCCACTGAGCCAGACACAACAGGTGAGGGGCTCTGTAATCCATGCTTCCTATGGTCTAACAGCAGCCCTGCCTCTCCTACTCTGCTCTCCAGTGTGTCTAATCTTCTGACAGCATGACACAATGTCTCATTTACAAAGCTGCTCCAGAACCCCACAACTGAATTGTTTAGTAAATCACATGTTTTAAATTTACAATTTTGTGTTGGGCTACATTTGACAGCTATCTTGGAGTATATATGGCCCAAGAGCCACAAGTAGAACACATTTGCAGAGTTTAAGCTGTCTGGTTCTTCCCGTGTCCGTCCCCCAAAAACACACCACCTTAGTTTCTGAGGGGAAAAAAGGAAGTATGCAATCTTGGGAGGAGGTAACGGGGATTTCCCACAGAGCCTGGCAATATTGGTGGGGTTTCCCAGGATAAGGAACTACAGTCGGGTGACCTCTAGGCTTTCATCCCAGACTTCCTGGGATGCTGTGAAGTCTAGGTTAGGTTAGTCTACTTTGGGCCTAGCTTGACTAGCTGTGTCATCTTTTGGCAAATTACATTTTACCTTCAGGGCTAGTTTCTAAGCTTATAAAAGATTTCTAAAGTAGTGCAAGCCCTTAATCCCTTGCAGAGGCAGGTGGACCTCTGCAAGTTCCAGGCCAGCCTGGTCTATACAGTGAGTTTCTGGCTAGCCAGAGCTACATAGTAAGGAGACCATCTCAAAAATAAAATTCTGCCCCACTAACCTCCCCCAAACTGGAACACTAGGTGGTGTGGGATGGGGAGGGTCACCTTCCCACTTTATCTTCCTGGATCCCTGGGTTCCATTATTTCTTCTGCTCTAAATCGGCCTGGGGACAGCATGCTGGGCCAGAAGTGTAAGTCCCATCCCCTCCCACCTAGAGAAGATGCGGAGAACTGGAGGGAAGGCCTAGGCGCTCTCGCGCAGGAAAGCAAGCAGCCCGCGGGAACCGAGCAAACGCCGTCTGTCCCCGCTGGCCCCTGCCACGCCGCTCACCATCTGTTGTGACACAGGGGCCGAGACCTGCAAGAGCTTGGCAGCCCCGACGAGTGTGAAGAAGCCGCCGAGCAGGAGACGCAGCGCACCAAGCACGAGCGCCATAGCAGCGAGTGGCTCCTCTGGCTCCCTCCCTCCGTGGCCGGAAGGCCGCAGTCGCCCAGCCCCGCCCACCCGGTTCACGCCCAACATCGGACCAGTCTTAGGTGGGGCCCCGCCCCTGAGACCTTTCCTCAAACTCCGTTAAGCGGGAACAAGCCTGCATGTTCTGACCACGTGACCCGAGCTTCGTGGGGGAGGGGCACCCTGGAGGAATCTGACACCACCCAGCCCCGAGTGCCTCTGGGTTTGCTTCCATAAGGAAGTTGCACACTGGCCTTCAGAAAGTTACCTATACATCAGTGAACCATACAATTAATGAGCAATAAAACAGTAACTAGTTAACTACCAGTTTTTCTTGTCCATCTATATCTAACATACCTGTCTTTCCAATCGCTCACCTGAAATAAAAAATGTGAAAGATGTTTAAACACTCACTTGCCTCGATCAGCAAACAAAGGGCCAAATTTGGCCAGTCGTCGGATATTTTGTTTTAACACTCACCAAAAAAGGAAAATATGAGTAATATTGATATAACAATAATCTTAAAATGATTAAACAATGTCCAAGAAATTTTCACAACCCTTGGAAATTATATAAAAATAACATCTCAGCGTGCACAGGTAGAAGAATGTTGACCAGCAATAGGTTTGCATACCAAAGAATACTTACAATCTGAGCTTTTATGAAAGCTGGCTATACATCTGTAAATCCAACCCAAAAGGGGTTGAGGCTTGAGGACAGCCCAGATTTCAATGCCAACATGGACTACACAGTAAGAATTAGGCCAGTAACAACTACACTGAAAAAGCCCAGTCTCAAAAAAAAAAAAAAAACAAACAAACCCTGGTTTTAGAGGTCCAAGAGAAGCCCCCAAATTATGCTTTCAAATTCCCCAATGTTCCTACTTCCTGCTGGGCACCGGCTAAAACTTCTCACATGTTTGTTTGTTTGTTTGTTTTTGAGACAGGGTTTCTCTGTATTGGTTTAGAGCCTGTTCTGGAACTAGCTCTGGCCTCGAACTCACAAAGACCAGCCTGACTCTGCCCACCAGTGCTGGGACTAGAGGCGCCGCCGACGTGGGGTTTCTGCGCCTGAACGCTTGATCATAAAGGGAAGCACTAACTTAACTCTGTTTTGTCCCCCTTTATCTCTGTTTAACCATTTTCCTGAGTCACTTTTTCCTGTAGATTACCTTGAATTCTAGGAAAGACAGAACTGACCCATAAACATACTGTACAGTGAAAGACCAAAACTAGCTCCAAGCAACAGGGAGCCTGGCAGGGCAGATCACACCTTAAATGAGGGTATGTCATTACGGTGAAGCTGTGCCCTGGAGTAGTCATCTCAAAGAAACCAGACTGCTCCCCTAAAGTGATGACAGTGGAAACTTCTCCAATTGAGGGGGAGAGGAGAGGGGATAACAACGACAGTGGGATCTCTCTGAGTTGGAGGCCAGCCTGGTCTACATAATGAGTTAGTTCCAGGACACCCAGTGCTATGTAGAGAGACTGTGTCTCAAAACACAAAACAAAACAAAGTGCTGAGGTGAGATCACTGAATTATAATCTATTCTCAACCTGGCTCCACTGACCCAATCTTTTTCTGCCCTTCACCAATGCCAACCTCTTAACTGACATACTGGGGCAGCAGGTCTCTTGGGGAATTCTCTTAAGCAAGACATTTCTTCTGAAACTCCAAGAGCAATCACCAATATAAAGGCTAAATTGTCTATCTTGTGTTATTAAATTATACATAATTATGTTTAAGTTCCATAATTCTTAAATCCCTCTACAACAAAGAAAAAATTATTAAAACATTTAATCACCAAAAATACAAATACATTAGCAAATGTATTTTAGGATACTTATACAAAATTTAACACAAAATTAAAGACTCTGACAATAAGCAATATGCATACTACTCTTTCTCCTTTACTAACTTTTCTATCCTTGGAACTAATGATGTGACTGCAAGTCTTAGGGTGGGACCAAAAGCCAGCAGGTTTCTTTGCTTCGAAGCAGTCAAGGCCGAAAAGGTGGCATCACACAAACAGACTGTGGAAAAGGGCAGTAAGAGTTTCACTGCCTTTTCATGGAGTTCCGGGTGACTTGTCTTTGCGCTTACCCAAAACTGAGCTACAGACATTGATTTATAAGCTGACTGTAGGCTAATATCTGAAGATAAAGCTGCTAGTTTTTCTTCTTCAGAGTCAGTGAGGTTGTTATTCTCGTGCCTGGCAAAGGGGTCAATGAGCCAAAGGTTTCCCACACGCAAATCCTCTTCAGGTGGGTAACAGTCATGGAAAATCTGAGAAAGTTTTTCTAGATGCTCAACAACAATGTTAGTGATGCTTCTCACACTGACATCTGATGAGTCTAAGAACTCAGAGAATAAAGGGAACATATCATAGTCGTTCTCTTGTGTGCGCTTCAACCATGTTTTTAGCTTTTTCTTAAACATGTCGACTTTATTATACAAACTGAAAAGAGTAGCCATGGTCCCTTGAAGACCAGAATTTAATGTATTTATAAGTGAAAACATATCTGCTAAATAGGCTAGCTTTGCAACCCACTCCTTGTCTTGGAAATATCTGGCCAAATCTGAATGCTTTTGATTTAAAAGTATTTCAATTTCCTGTCTCAGCTCAAATAACCTTGTTAAAATTCTCCCTCTCGACAGCCACCGAAGTTCAGCATTGAGTGGTAAATTCACGTGCTCCGATCCCACCTCTTCACACAAAATTGCCAACATTTGTGAGTCTGAGGCACTGTTCTTCACAAAGCTTAAAATTTGCGCTGACTGCAGAAGAGTTTCGTGTAAGCATGGAGATAGCTTTTCAGCAGCTAAGTGTTCGCGGTGAATAAAACAATGTGTGAATACCACTGTATTCTTGGTGATCTCTTGAATTTTTGACTTTAAACAAGAACGTCTATCAGTCATGCTTGTGGGCCCATCAGTACAGAAACCAACACAATGGTTCCAATTCAGAGATCGACTATCAATGTATTTATTTATTAGTTCAAACACTTCAAGATCTGTGCTTGGAGAAGACATTTCAGAACAAAACAGTAACTCTTCTCTCACAGCACCACAGTCATAATCGATGAAACGAACATAGCATAGGAGAAGAGTGGCATCTGAGGTCTCTGATGACTCGTCTACCTGGAGGGCAAACCACCTGGAGTCTCTGAGCTTCTGAGCCAGCTGGTCTTCAATGTCTGCAGACAACTTGTTGATCCTGCACTCAATTGTGTCATTAGAAAGAGGGATGGTTTTCATTTTGTCTCCAGCACTTGAACCCAAAACTTCTGAACACATTTCTACTAAATATGGTTTAATTAATTCTTCAGCAATGGAGAATGGTTTCTTCCTGGCGGCAATTTGGAAAGCAATTAAATAAGAAGCTTTCACAAGTGACTCTTCAACTAGTAGACATTTGTTTAAAGGACTGTCTTGACATTCCATCTCAAGTGATTTTTCCTCAAAAAAGTCTACTGGCTTATTCTCTAGTTCAGAATGCTTTGCCTTCAAGTGGTTAGAGAGACTTACTGGCACCAGGCTTTCTCTAGGTAAGATCTCTCTACAAATGACACACTGTGCTCTTGGTGAACTTTCCTTTGATCCAGAACAGACAATAAAGCCAAATTTTATATATTCTGCTTTGTAAGATTGGAAAAGGTCCATTCTTTTTTTCTTTGCAGGTGGAGAATCAGGTTCTTCATTTTTTCCATTTGGCAGAGGAAAATCTGAAGGAAATATTTGAATCATTGTTATGATATGAACATGTACAACATGATATGAATAGTTGTGTTATAAAAAACAGGACAAAGATCCCTTAACATGATAGATTAACATTAATTTGACTCAATGTTGCCTATAAATTCTAAAATCTGGAAGTTGAAAAGCACATTTAGGGGCTAGAGAATAGCTCAGTGGTAGCAATTTACCTGGGATCTACGACACTTGGATCCAATCCTTAGCACCAATACAAACCAACATACCACACATAAATCTAAAGACCAATCCTAGGAGTTTGATTATGACATGTACACTAGCATCTATGTCCTTTTTAGGGGAGGGATGGTGAGACAGGATTTCTGTGTGTAGACTTGGCTGTCCTGGAACTTGCTCTGTAGACCAGGTTGGCCTCGAACTCACAGACACCTGCCTGCCTCTGCCTCCTGAGTGCTGAGATTAAAGGTGTGTACCACCAACACCCAGATCTTTAAAGAAGCTTAATGTAGGGGTCAGTGAGATGGCTCAACAAGCAAAGGTACTTGCCACCAAGCTTAACAAGGTGGATGGATGTAACAGATTCCACCAAGTTGTTCTAGGACACAACACATACACTGTGGCATGTTCCATAAAATAAAAGAATCCCAATGTAGGGCTGGGAACGGAAGCTATAATCCAGCACTTACGGGCTGGAGGCAGGAGGATGAGGAGTTTAAAGTCATCCTCAGCTATATGTCCAGTCTGAGGTTAGTCTATGATACTGCATGAGGCACCTTTCTCAAAACCAAACACACACAGTGAGGGAAGGCACAGTACATAGAAGAAAGGGTCTCAGTATATATTTAAGTTTTTATCAATAGAAAATGTTTTCAGTACGATGTCAAGTGACAAAGCAATTTACAATATACAGTAGAAGCCCAATATTTAATCCAGAAATTAAAAAAAATAATTAAGCACACACATACCAGATGTCCACAGATCACAGATCCTTTACTACTTTTTATATGTGAAGGTGTTCAGAAGTTCATGTACAAAAGTAAGAATATCATTTTAAACAGAACAGAAAATAATCAAATTTCCTGAAGAATTCTCTTTGACTCCTACCAAAGGAAAGGCACCCTATGTAAAATATCAATGATTACTTTTTCCAGAGTAAGCTTTATCTATTTATTTAGAGACAGGTTCTTGGAATGCAATCCAAACTGGCCTTAAACTCAACATTTCCTGTCTCAGTCTCCCAAACAGCTTGGACTATAGTTGAGTTCACA